AAAAAAAAAAAAAAAAAGGTTTTCTTAATTTATCTTTTGATAAAGATATAGTCATGTAATCTGAGAAATCAGTAAAGCACCTACATCCCCCCCCCACATACATTATTACACAGTAAAAGGTCATTTAGCCATAAAGCAACAGCCACAAAACTTGTAAGCAAATTAATACATCTAAACTCTAAAAATATTTACAAAGTGCATTCAAGTGCCAGATCTTAGAGAAAAGCCCTGCTGTACCTTACACTTATTTATTTATGGTCAGGATCTCACACTATAGCCTAGGCTGGCCTGGAACTATGTAGACCAAGCTGGCTTTAAACTCACAGCAATCCTCCTGTCTCAGCCCCCTGAGTGCTGGAATTTCAAGCTTGGCCTACCACTCCTGGCAACCTGCTTTCTTCAGTTAACTGAGTTTGATCCCTGGTAAGAGCTTCCTAACCACTCTTACATTTAATAAAGGGACAATCCACAGGAGGAACTGCCTGAATTTAGAGCAATGAAGTGTTAACTTTGAAGCAGATTCAGGTTCCCATGTTTAGGAACAAGGAAGTTTCCTCTGTCCCTGTTGCCTTTGAATGCTCATGGTACTTGCTTTGATGGACTCTAATTCCCCTGGAACTATAAGCTAAATAAACTCTTCCTTCTATAGCATCCCTTGGTCATGGTGTTTCTATCACAGCAAAAGAGAACTAATCCAGGGGGGATGTTTCCATGAATTCTATACTCTCAAAAAGATGCCCAGATTTCACAGTGCAACACATAAAATCAACTAGCATTACACGTGTGTTCCAAGTCCCTACCTATAACCCCACTTCTGCTCTAATCATATTTACTGAACAAGTAAATATGATCATAATCTGCTCTAATCATATTTACTGCCAAGTACATACATATACTACACATATCAAACTAGTTCCCATGGGATCTTCTGAGCAGATACTAAAATGACCGTCAACTTTACATATGAGGAAAACGAGGCACAAAGAGTTCAAGTAACTTTCCCCAGAATCACACAGCTAGTAGATACCACAACTGGGATTCAAATCTGGATGATCTGGCCCCAGGGTTTACATTCTGATGCACGTTCTTCCTAATGCACACTAGAAAAACTTTGTCCTACAAATAATTTGCCCTAGCATATTGCATTGATGACATGCAAACTGTATCTTGTTATTAATAGTGAAGGTCACAGTGTATGTGAAGAGGCTGGATGTGCCACAGACCATCTTAAGGATCAAACAGCTCCACCTGAATATGGCTTCCCATTTCACAGAGTCAAAACTTTGTTTTCCTATTACTGAATTTTCAGTGTAACTGTCACATTTTTTTTTCTGTTAATAGGTCTCTATGCTCTGAAAACTAAATGTTCTTTTACAATGTTTGTTACTAGAGAATCAACACTTTCAAATTCCAATGATCCTTGCATAAAAAAAAATTAAAGCCAAATAGCTACCCTAAGATTAGGGGATTGTGGGGAACACAGACAGAGCTTCAGTCTTTTGATGTAAAATCTGCTACTCTAGCCGGGCGTGGTAGTGCACGCCTTTAATCCCAGCACTTGGGAGGCAGAGGCAGGCGGATCTCTGTGAGTTCAAGGCCAGCCTGGTCTACATATTGAGTTCCAGGACAGCTAGAGCTACAGGGAGGCCCTGTCTCAAAAAGATTGAAAAAAAAAAAATCTGCTATTCTAATGAGGAACACTGATTTAGAAAACTAATTAAAATTAATTAGAATTTTTAAGTACTTCTAAGCACATTGAATGTAAAATCATGCATTAGGTAAAAAGTACTTTCAAGGTGAACGTAATTTTCAGAGCTTTACTAATTAGAACTAATTTAGACTCTTAAATGTCGTTATCCCTTTTAAAGACAGTATCAACAGTAGAAAACTTCTTTTATGGATTATAGTTTATGTAGCCTACTAAACGACAAAGGTTGTATGGAATGAAACAGAAAAATAAATACAAATTCTAAGAAGCAATCCAGTTTAACCTGTGCCATGTTATCTTCTTCGAGGAACTCGGAACAGGTCAGTTTATTTTTAAAATCAAATGTAGTTCAACTTTCAAAATCCAAGGGTGGCTGCAATGAATACATTCTGGGCTTCCAACTTCCTTGTAGAATGTTTAAAGACCAAGACAAGCAATGCCACCTACAGGAAACCCGCAGAAAAAGTCAGGTTTCCAAGCCCCACACTCTATTAGCTCCCGAATCTTACCATATTTAACACAGAAAATGTCAAGGAAAAGGCGAAAGAGAAAAAAGGGGTAGCAGTATAAAAACATCCACCAGCATTTCACACCCCAGTTCAACAAATATGATTTGTAGACGCTTGGTCGTGAACAGGAACAGAAAAGATGTGGCTATGCCACCTCAAAGGCCTGGAAATGTCTAACAAGCACACAGAAGACTCAGGTCATTGGGGATGAAACCTGCAGTCTGATTTTCCAACTGCAGAATCGCTTTTTTTTAAAGATTTATTCTTATGTATGTGTGTGTATGAGGGCCTAATTGAGTTTATGTGTATGTGTGCACATACCCATGAAGTCTGTATGAGGTCATCTGAACCCCTGGACCTGGAGTTGCAGGTGGTTTTGAGCCACCTGATGTGGGTGCTAGGAACCAAACCAGGGTTCTGCAAGAGCAACCAGTGCTCTTTTCTTACCTGTAGAGTCATCTCTCCAGCCCCAGAATTCCTTTCTTCTTGATCATCATCCCCTCTACTTTCTTGGACCCATTTCTTACATTTTCTGGCATTCTAACTTCTAGTTAACATTCTAGTTTCAGTTTCTAAAGCCCAGTTTTATTTCAAAAAACCTGTTCCACAGAAGTTTCTCCATCAGATTGAGTTTTTGCTCTGTATGTATGCCAGGCCCATTCTAAACAGATTTCATTTTTAGACCTTTCTCGTCCCTTCTCCCTGTGCTTCCCCTTGGGAAGTAGACACAAAGAAGTTTCCTTATGTCAACAGTTCTCAGGGGTTTTTGTTTTTTGTTTTTTTTTGGGGGGGGGTCTTTTTGAGACACGGTCTCCTTGTAGCCCCAGCTGGCCTGGAACTCACTAGGTAGGTAGACCAGGGTGGCCTTGAACTCAAAGAGCTCTTCCTGCCTCTGCCTCTGGAGTGCTGGGATTAAAGGCATGTGCCACCATGCCCAGTGAGTTCTCAGTTTAGAATAAACATAAACACCATCTGGAGTCCTTTAATAATATCACACCTCAGGTTTAGCTGGGGTGGAATGAAGCTCAAATACAGCTTATGGAATTTGCTTTTCAGTTCTCCAGGTGACTTTACTGTGCTGCCTAGCTTAAGAACACTGCCAGTAGGGCATGGTGGCACACACCTGTAGTCCCAGCACTTGGGAGGTAGAGACAGGTGGATCTCTGAGTTTGAGAGCAGCCTGGTCTACATAGTGAGTTCCAGGCCAGCTGGGGCTACAGGGAGACCCTGTGTCAAAAAGACCAACCCCCCCTCCAAAAAGAAACCCCACTGCCTTACTGTAGGGTTGAGCCTTTCCCTAGCTCTCACCTGCATTCTATTAAGTAGTCTGTGGGCTCCACTATACACAGCAGCCTGGCCCACCTGCTCCACAGGACCCTGGTTCATTACTCCCAACACTCATAGTTCCTGGAAACTGGACAGCTAGTGGTATCATGCTTCACCCACCTGTTGTACCTATTTATTTTTGAGATGGGGGGTCTTGCTATGTAGCCCAGGCTGGCCTTGAACTCGTGATCCTCCTGTCTCCACCTTCTAAGTGTTGGGGTTACAGCTGTGCATTGTACCTTTACTCTCTCTCTGCTGCAGAAATCTGACTCATGGGTCAATGCTCAAGTTGATCTACCCCTTTCAACAGTGCCACATCACTCCAGCTGTCTCTAAGTTCTGGTCTAAAACACCAGACCAGTTAATCTGTTGGACAAACACAAACCTAATTCTGAGAGATGCTGATCTCTTCACAAGCACTGGGTTACTCCCTCAGCTCAGTCCTGTGAAGGTTCCTGAGTGTAGATGCCTTGCACCCTCCAACAATGAGAGTCCACAGGTCTCAACCTACCATACACAGCACTCTTCCAAAAGGGGAGTCCTCCTGCGCTTCTCAGGGAGAATGTGGAACCGCAGTAGGTGATGAGCAGGTTCTTGGATGAACCACCAATCAGTTAAGTCCTGCGGTGGAACAGCAGCGCCAACTGTGTTGGCTGTATTCCTGAACAGGAATTTTTTTAAAGATAGGGTCTCCCTGTAGCCCCAGTTGGCCTGGAAACTGCTATGTAGACCAGGCTGGCTTCCATCTTACAGAAGCCTGCCAGTTTCCAGTGTTGGGATTAAAGCCTTGTGCCACCATACCCAGCTGCTGAACAGGAATTTTAAAAATCCCATTTCATTCTGTTACAAATTACTTATCTCCAGCGGTCACCACCTTAGGTCCAGAACTACAGGTAACACAGAGAGGGTAGAGACAAGCAGGGTGTATTTGAAATCCTGGACTGTATACTGTACTTGTGAGGGGTGGGGGGTTGGGAAGCCAGAGCTCCAGGAGGAAATAAAAACTGGAGCAGAGTGGGAAAGGGTGTGAGGGATCTCTTACAAGAGTTCCCTGTTTGGGTTATGGTAATACCGCTTGCCTCCAAAGCTCACACACTGAGGTTATAACTTTGGTTATACTCCAAAGCCCGGGGCAAACTGCTTAACGAAGTGGCCAAAAGGCCCTAGGAACACAGTATTTTGGAAAAGAACAGCAAGCAACCTTTAAAGACCAAAGTCAGCCTGAAAATAAAGAACTGATCCTAAGGCCAATTCTCAAAGTCTCTAAATGGAGTCACTTTTGCTCTTTCTTTAGAGCCGTCACTGGGTGTAAATGTTTTCTTCAAAGTCATTTATGAAGCAGTCACAAAGTCACAAGGCTTCAAAGACAATGTTTATTTCAACACATAAAATGTGCCATCTAGCACCAATGCCTGTAAATTCCAGAATTCCACCTGGTTCCTACTTTTTGGAACTGTGGCATTTAAGTCCTTGACAGATTAGTCTTGTGAGCAGGTAGGTGATTATCCCAACAAAACCTACAGATAATACAATAAAAATCATTTGATAAATGTGTATAGAACTACATTTGTAGTTATTCAGAAATCTTTCACTGTTTCATGTGAACAAGTCATCTTAATGCCAGTGTTTTAAACGATATATACACGAAAACTGCACGAGCCACATAAATACACAAGCCTGAAACTCTGCTTTCTTTTGTCACTCCTTCCTTCTCTCCCAACCTTAGCAACTTACTACAGAACCTTTTACTATTTAAATCACTCACACATCTGTGATAAGGAAAAAAACTCTGGCCAATGAAAAGACACTATTTTCAGCTTCTTTTAAAAGTAAAAGAACATTTAAGTATTACAGGTATATGAAGCTAAAACTCAGTAAAGACAATTTAACATTCACTGTTTTGAATTTAAAGCATCACTGCATAATAACAGATAGCTATCATGAGAAATTAGATCAACTTATCTCCAGCTTCTTGAAAATCCAGAGTCAACCATGCTGCTTTACTGGGTTTTTTTGGCAGACTTGAGGCTAACTTCAAAATTGACTTTTTATTTGAGGGAGTGATTCCCAGTATTTCTTTGATGGAGAATGATGCTAAGGCTAAGTTAACCTAAGCTGCAGTCACTTCCCATCCTGGGCAGTCTGTGGCGCTTGTTATTCACGTATCAGATCTCTAGGTCATGCTGGAGAAATCATTCCATGATGTATCCACATGCTCCATCCTGGATGTCAGGGGCTTGGTTAAGATAGGAGAGGGATTCATGATGGCAGTTTCTATAAGGGGGGAAGGGAAGGAAAATTAAATCCATCAGGGGGAAAACAGAGACACTGGACATTATTAAAAATATAAACATTTGCGTTGCAAGATACATTATCAAAAAATTAAAAGACACCTACAGAATCAGAGAAATTATTTGCAAATCATACACCTGGTATTTATTATCCAAAATAGGTAAACAAGTCTTAGTGTAGTAAACAGGCAACTACATTAGAAAATGAGCAAAGTATTTTAGTGACATGAAAAGATGATTCAACACCATTAGTCATTAGGAACGAAAGCAAACCTAAAACAAGCTCCTATTCCACACCCACTAAGGTGGTTACAGTCAAACAGACTTCCTTGGTGAGGATGTGGAGACAATGGGACTCTATACAGTACTGCAAAATGGTGCAGTAACTTTGGAATACAGCTTGGCAATTCCTCAAAAAGTTAAGAGTCTCTGTGTAACCTCTAGGTCTATACCTAAGAAGTTTGAAAAAAATATGCTTACAAAAACCTTCTGTATGCATGTCCACAGCAGATTATTCATTATGGACAGGAAGTAAACTAGTGAAATGCCACCAGATGACAAATGGGTGGATGAGATGAACACAACCACCCACACAAGAATGGGAATCAGACATAAAAGGGCGGAAGGCTCAAGCAGCTGTGCGCACAATCCTTGAGGACACTGCAGAACAGGAACAGGCATAATCAAAGAAGTGGACTCCTGGGCCATCAGGGAGTTGGGGACAAAAGGAAACGGGGAGTGAGAGCTAACAACATTTATTTTTGGGGTGATGGAATCATTTAAAGTTAGAAAGTGGTGGTTTGCATAACTCTATGGCTACACTAAAAACACTGAGTTGTATGCTTGAAAAGGGCAAACTTTATGGAATGGGAACTATACGATATGAAAAAAAGAAATAGGTCCTCGTTAAAAAAAAAAAAAAAAGCCTTTATATTCAGAAACATAAGATCTTTATGCCTGAAAAAAAATCTTTTAAAACTGTATAACAGGTTAGCTAAAACTGGACCCCTTAAGGCACAGAAAGTTTTTATTTTTCTTTGCATCTTTGGCAATAAACCAAACAAATGTTAACTGGACTGAATTACTAATCTCATCACCTCCTTTCTTTAGATATCCAGTGAAAAGCAACTGTTTCACAACAAGGTGGTCAAATCCTTGCCCACACCTTAGCAAAGAGTAGCTGATGAGATTTCAGAGGAAGAACTGGGAGTGTACTTACTGATTTTTTCTTTCTGATGTGTATAATATGAATATCTTCACTTCGATATTCTTCATCATGTTTTTCCAAAGGAATTTCTTCAAAGTCAAAATCTAGTTGAAGGAGCTATACATTAAAAAGAGACATTTGTCACACTCTTCAAAATAAAATTTTCAAAATAATACATCATTAATGTGCTCCAGAAAGCCAGCTCTGGGCTAATGCTAAGAACTTTCTCAGAAAAGACAAATGTGTCTTCAATATTATGTGACACTGTAGCTACAGTATCAACTAACTAGAAAAGAGAGAGAGAGCTAAAGGAATGGACTAGAACGGGCTTGGGGGCTCTGGACAGTGGTATGCAGATAAGGATGATCTCTTTGGGTTCATATCCATAGAACGTTCTCCCCACCCCAAATTACCAAAAACACCAGAATCGTCACATACAGTCTCCTGGGAGAGTGATTTCTTTATAGACAGACCTAGGGGCTGGAGAGATGGTTCAGCAGTTAAGAGCACTGGCTGCTCTTGCAGAGGACCTGGGTTTGAATCCTAGCACCCACATGGCAGCTTACAACCATCCGTTAACTCCAGTTTGAGGGCCTCTGATACCCTCTCTGACCTCCACATGTAATAATCTTATACACATAATATTTTTTAAGGGGCTGGAGAGATGGCTCAGTGGTTAAGAACACTGGCAGTTCTTGCAGATAAGCTGGGTTCAAATCTCAGCACCCATATGGCAGCTAACAGCTGTCTGTAACTCCAGTTCCAGGGGATCTGACAGCTTCTTCTGCCCTCTGCAGGCATTGCACCACAGGTACACTTACATACAAGCATTACACACACACACACATAAAATAATAATTTTCTTTTTTTTTTTGGTCTTTTTGAGACAGGTTCTCCCTGTAGCCCCAGGTGTTCTGGAACTCATTATGTAGACCAGGCTGGCCTTGAACTCACAGAGATCCACCTGCCTCTGCCTCCCCAGTGCTGGGATTAAAGGCGTGTGCCACCACATATTTTTTTAAAAAGGACAGACCTAATACAATACTTACCTCAAAGTATTTTTTCTCAATTTCTGGATTTTTTCCCATTGTACGTTGTTCGTAACAACATATAATACACGTTTCAGATCCACTGAGATCTTTTAGAGTTTTCAGCAATGGTTCCAGAGACTATTACAAAAAAAATACATTTTTAGTTTAGGACTACAAAATTTTCCAATTATAAAGTCAGTTGTGGTGGCATAAGACTCTAGTCCTGTCACTCAGGTGGCCGAACTCTTTTGAGTTTGATGCCAAGCCTCAAACTACAGTGAGACCCTGTCTAAAAAAGAAAAGATTGGCAAACTAATCTTAACTAATCAATAAATATATTTACTTTAATTTACAAAATAATAATAATAATAATTCCAGTAACTACATTTTGCTGTTCTCACAGGAAAACAAATAGAATTGCTGTTTTTTGTTTGTAAAGAGAGTCTAGCCTTGTGGCCTCAGCTGTCTCAGCTGTTGAGTGCAGGGATTAAAGGTGTGCATTGCCATACCCTGCTTGACTTGAATCTTAGAAATTTAACTTCAATGAATCTAATTTAATACAATAAGCACTCAATTTATTTTTACAAAACCTGACTCTAATTTGAACATCAGTTAGCTCATATTCATTATTTTAAAAATAATGCCGTCCAATGCTATATAAACTGGTATGTAAAGAAAAATCATTCTGGGGCTAGAGCAATAGCGCAGCAGTTAAGAACACTGTTCTTGCAGAAGACCGGGGTTCAAATCTCAGCACCCACATGGCAGCTAACAACTGTCTGTAACTCCAGTTCCAGGGGATCTGACGGTCTGTTCTATCCTCCATGGGCACTGCACGACATGGGCGCACTTACCGACACACAGGCAATACACGTATACACATAAAATCAAAATAATAAATAAAATTTAAAAAATCAATTAAAAAAGAAAAATCATTCCACAAGTCTAATAAATCTTGCCACAGAAAAGTAATAAATTTTGGGGGTCAGGGTTTCATGCTGAGGCCCACGTTGGCCTGGAACTCATGGCAATCATCCTGCCTCCACCTCCTATGTGTTTGGATTGCAGGAGTGAACCACCATGTCTGCCTTGCATTTGAATTCTCAATGTCATGGCCACCTTATTCAATGGGAATAGTAAAAACCCCAAGACAGCTGTTAGTTTCTCATAGCATAGCCTTTGTAAAAATATGTAAAAATATTGTAATATATCCTTTTAAAGTTTTACAGAAGCCTGTAGTAAAAGGCATATAGCAATCTTCTCACAGGCCTTTTGCTAATCCTGGTATGTGTGTGTGCATTTGGGCTCTGGAGATTCTGTCTTTGCTTTACTCCCTCATCAAAACAAATATCCCACATTCAGAGATGTCAAACCAGGAGAAAATGTATGTTTCAGGACACTTGAAACATGGACATTTCACCCACTCAATATTTACCTCTTCATAGTATATGCAGTCTGCCATCAGTATGTAGTCTGGTGGAGAAGTCAAGTCCTCTATGTCTTCCCCCCTTAAAAATGTCAAACATACACCTTTAACTGTTGCTTAATGATTTAAAATTTCGTTTTATAAACATGCAGTGGCCCATTCCCTTTATATTAAAGCATGCATTTAAATTTAAATTTGCAATTTAAAGCAAAGTATAAGCTGTTATCTCAAAACAAGCTGAAAGGCCATACAAACCATTTCAGTACCTTGGCTTGCACAGAACCGGTCACAAGATGCTTGTTCAGATCAATATTCATACTCAGCAGGCCTTGCAGCTCCTCGAGGTCGGTGACTACCACATCTGCCCTAAAAAACAACCGCGATGAGGCACAGGTGCGGTGGCCAGGGGCGCCGGGTCGGCCAGGCCAGGCGGTGGCCCTCCGCCAGCTCTTACCCGAGGGTCGCAGCCATGAGCCCCACAGCCCCGGTGCCCGAGCCCAGCTCCAGCACCGACCGCCGACTCAGCGCGTGGGCCCCGGGGCCAGCGAAGCCCGGCGTCTCCAGGAACTTGGCGAGGACGATGGCGGCGTCCCAGACCACGCAGCCCACACCTCCAGAGCCGTACTGCTGCAAGCGCAGCTCCGCGCCATCCCGCTTCTCCAGGACACGCACAAAGCTCCGCAGAGGGTCGTCCACCGCGGGCTCCGGGACCCCAGCCATCGCAGCAGCTACACGGGGCGCCACCGGGTGACGTCATGCCACGCCAGGCCCGCGCCGCACAGCGCATGTGTCAGCCTGGGGCTGCAGTGGCTCCGCCAGTTTTCCCTCATTTTCCCTTAAATCACATGCTTGGTGAACAGGCAATTTAAGGCACGAGCGGCACTGTCACCTGCTCGGTAGGAAACAAAGTCAACCTCACAGTGCTGTCACCTGGCCCGAGCCTGGCGCAGGCAGAGGTTACTGTAAATTTAAGCAGCTTTCCAGCTTCTGTCAAAAATGGTTATCCTCAGAAGTTTCCCAGTGTGCGTCTACTAGTCTCATGAATGCATAAAATGAATGGTTGTTAGGGGGCTGGATTTGATCAGAACACATTATATTCACGCATGAAGTTCTCAAATAAATTTTTTTTTAAGGGTTGCCGGAAAGTTGCCGCTTGCTTTTAACGGTAAAGTTCTCCCTCTAAGATTTACATTCCTTGGGGCAAGATGACTCCAGAGGTTAAGGGCGCCTGCCACCGAATCATGCTGACTTGAGTTTAATGCCCAGGACCCACATGGTGTAAGGAGAGAACTGCCTCCCACAAGCTGTCCTGAACTTCACGCACCGGTCCCACACACATATATAAAATGAATGTAAAAGCAATTTTTAAAAATAGACATCACTGGCTGGGCGCGGTGGTGCACGCCTTTAATCCCAGCACTAGGGAGGCAGAGGCAGCCGGATTCCTGTGAGTTCAAGGCCAGCCTGGTCTACATAGTGAGTTCCAGGACAGCTGGGGCTACAGGGAAAACCTGTCTCAAAAAGACACCCCCCCCCCAAAAAAAGACATCACTTAAACTCTAGATTAAGTAGTTTGCATTGCACAAAATGCTGACTATTAATAATGTGTGCATACATATGTGTAGGGCTCAATACCACTTTTTTTTTTTCATCATTTTTTGAGACAGAGTAGTCTCATCTATCCCAGGGTTGGCTTCAAACTCATTGTGTAGTTGGGCTTGACCTTGAATTCCAGATCTCCCTGACTCAACTTCCCAAGTGCTGGGTTTAGAGGCATGCCCCATCACACCCCGCTACCCTTGCTCTTTATGATGAAAACATACATTGCAAGTCTTTTAAAAATTAAGACTGAGGTGATTTATTAATCTTGTTAGGAACTCTGATACAAAGCACAGTAAAAGGCCACAGACCAGTAAATAAACGTGGCTTTTGCCTACTTTACAATTGCTGCTACTGTACTATCAGCTTAACACACCATCACTGATCAAAAATGTCCAAATGGCAAAAAAATTTATCCTCTGACTTAAAATTTTAATGAAGCTTTAAGTATTTGCTGGTTTAAATATTACCAATCTGAAAAAAAAAACAAACCAAAAATTTCGGTGAACATGAGATTAGAGAAAGTCACTAGGTTTTGAAGAGAAGGCAGTTGGTTCCTCTGCAATAAGACACTTTAGTTCTGGACTTATGAATTAGTAAAGTAGCAGATTGTATTATAAGCCTCAAGTCACTTAAATTTACATAGGTTATTAGCATTTCTTTAAATATACAATATAAACAAAACTGTACATACATGGCATATTGGCTTTTTTTTCAAAACAGGCAAATCATTAGCTAAAGACACAATACGCTTCAAAACAAAAGGCACATCTTACTTTTAATGATACATGCCCTTTTTTCCTCTATAGAATTGTTTACATTTTAACAAAATTTAATAAACACAGTGCATTCTATTATTTCCATTCTATTGTCCATGTTTTGTCTTCAGCAGCAAACACTGGCATTTAAGACATGGCATTAAAGAGTTTAAGAACAGTGGGTGTTATTCATAATTCTCCTAGACGTAAAAACCAGAAGTAAAAACTAGAAGATGGTCAAAGAGGGTTTAAAAAACAGTAACACCCTAACATCCTCTATATTTGTGTAAATTCATTGCCTTAAAAAGGCATCTATTACTCAAATTTGAAAAACTCCACAAGAACACTATCCCCCTTGCAAGTGCAATTGGTATCACTTTAAGCCATATTTTAGCAGAGTCTACAGTGCAAATATAAATTCATTATACTGGCCTTTTGGCAGCACTGAGGATCCAAGACAAAGCAATGCTACTGATCACCTGAGGATTATGGTGAAGGGCTTTTGCATTTTTATTTTTCCAATTCTTAAAAGCTTATTTGATCAGTAGCATTTTTGTAAAAGCATTATTTGTAAAAAGTACTAAAATACTATGCCTTTTTCAAATAAATTAAAAAAAAAAAACCTTTACAAATACTATTCCAGTGTCAATGACTACATGTGGCTAAGGTCATTGAGGAGTTTCGGCGTTTTCTAGCAAAGACAGTCTGTACAATGGGGGGTGTGAAAGCTCCCGTTTGTAAGTCTTTGGTGGCAGTTTTGGTAGGTGAGGGCTTGAATTCTGCCTTGGTGGAACAGGAGGAGCTGGAGGATGAACAAGATTGTTGTGACTTGAACTGAGCAAATAGCATCGCCGTGGTACTCTTGGAGAGGGTGTGCTGGGAGGAGTGCTTGGTGAATTTGGACATGTACTAACGTCTCTGAGCCAGTCTGGATCTCTGTGAAGATGTCCCAGTGGAGGAGGCTGCAGATTAAAGGGACAGTTTATAAAGTGTTCCGGAGGCCGAAGAGGAACCGGAGGAGGGGTATCAGGAAGAGGATCTCTTGGAGGTGGTGGAGGTGGACTATGCATAGGTCCATCAAATGCACCAGTTGCAACAGGAACTCTGGGTTTTACCTTTGGAGGAGGAGGCTGTCTTGGTGGAATAGCAGGAGGGTCATCATCAGATTTCAGAGTTCCCTAAAAAAAAAAAAAAAAAAAAAAAAAAGTGACACTTCTGGTCTCCTGAAAATTTATAAGACAATTTAAAAAGACACTGTCAAGTTAACTCTAAAGGCTCAACTCAGGACTCAGTTTAATATTCAGATATATGAGATGTTTTAATTGAAACCTTAAAACATAAAAGCCCCAAATCATATTGCTTTGTTTCCTACATTTCAGAAATTTATGGTTTCTTAATAGGTAAGTGAAAATAACGTGGTTTTATAGATATGAAAGGACATGGATTCCTGGGGATTTAATGTCTGGCATCTACTTACTGAATATCCACTTCTACTTTGCCCAATGATGCTTGGAGCAGTGGACCTCAATGTGTGATCCAGTAATCAGCAATAGGAGCACTGGTAGGGGAGTGGGTAGCAAAGCAAATTCCTGGGTCCCACGCCAGACCTAAGCAATCAGAAACTCTGGGTGGAGTGGTTTTAAGCTTTCCAGGTGATTTTTTTAGCTCCAGCTGTCCTTGAACTCACTAGGTAGACCAGGCTGGCCTCTGTCTCACAGAGATCCACCTGCCTCTGCCTCCCAAGTGCTGGGATAAAAGGCATGCGCCACCATGCCCGGCTTCCAGGTGATTTTTATGTTCCCTTAAATTTGAGAAGCACTAGCTGAAAATCTGAAGTCTTTGAAATAAAAGTTTCCCATCCTTATCAGAAAGACAATGCACTTATGAGTATCTGAATTTGCCCACTTTCTAAGGAGAGCTATTCTTAAATCATAGAATGTGGATAAAATATGACTGACAGACTCTAAAGATGAGTGTTATTGTAAAGATTCACAATTTTTCGTAAGTTGAGGCAAACCCAGGTCCTGCTGATTACCTTGGAATTTGAAGCATCATGATCAAACTTCTTTCGAGGAGGAAGTGGAGGAGGAATCAATGGCTCTTCACTTAGTTTATTTAAACTACCACATGAACTGAAGAAAGTTTCTGCCAGAAGAAAAGACTAGTTTACAATTCACAGTGAAATTATGAGACAAAACTTCATCACAACTTGTGACCCTTCTGCTACGGTATTTGTCAGACTGTATTATTTGTTACACGGCTAAATGTTGATTTATCTATTCTCTTCACTGAACTCGAAGCTTTTGAGGACACTATGTGTATGTGTTTTTAACCCTAGTATCTACCAGAGTGCTTGGTACAAGGTAGGTATGTTACCTAAATGAAGGTACACTATTAAGATTAATAAAGAAATTCCAAGCTGTATTGATGGTACAGGCCCATAATCCCAGGTACTTGAGATGCTAAAGCAGGAGGATCACAAGTTCAAGGCCAGCCTGAGCAGCTAGGCCTCTGTCTGCTATCTCAAAAAGTTTAAAAAAAAAAAAAAGTTAGGTTGTGGATATAGCTCAGTGGTAGAATATTTGTCTAGCATGTGTGAGGCCCTAGGTTCAATGCCTAGCACCACAAAACAAAAACAAACACCTCCTTCGAAGTCTTTTAAAAATCTAAAACAAAGCTAACGAAATAAAACTGAAAACATATATACATGCATGTATTAACTTACAGAGGAAACAAAAAATAAACCTACATAAACACCCCACCCCCAAATACATCCATACACATACATTACTCAAATAAAAAGAGTTAACAGCATTTAGATAATAAATTATGAAAATATGAATTGTAGAATACTATTTTACTTAAAATACTGCTTTAACTAAATAAGATGTGAAAAAGTAAGTGACCAAAGAAAGGCTAGTCTAGGAACCTGATAAACATTTAGTACCACTGTCCCTTGGTATCTGGGTACTGGTTCCATGATACTACATGGATACAAAAATCTGCCAATGCCAGCTGGGAGTGGTGGTGCACACCTTTAATCCCAGCACTCAAGAGGCAGAGGCAGATGGATCTCTGTGAGTTTGAGGCCAGCCTGGTCTACATAGTGAGTTCTAGGCCAGCTAGTGCTATATAGTGAGACTTTGTCTTACATTAAAAAAAAAAAATTCCATAAATGCTTAAGTCTCTTAAAATGGCACAATATTGTATATAACCTCTAAATATCCTGTAACTTTAAATCATCACTAAACTTTCCTTATCATACCTACTACAGTGTAAACCTTATGTAAACATTCTGTTTAGGGAATAATGCCAATTGGAGGGAAAGCCTCTGCATGTTCAGTACAGATGCAGTCACTGTTGGCCTAACCCCATTTTCTTTACTTTTTTTTGGGGGGGGGTCTTTTTTA